GGGAGGAGACAGGGATAAGAATTACCCTTCAATGTCACAACCCCAGTGATCCTCTCCTCTAACCAGGCCCCACCTCCTAACAGCATGTACAGCTACTGAACTCGTGCCCCCATGACCCAATAACCTTTCAAAAGCCCCAGCTCTGAACACATGAGTCTTTTGGTGGACATTTTGATCTAAACCATACCATCTGACTTGTACCTTAGAGAAACTGTATAAACAGAATGAGATGTCGTTATCTGGTAAAGAGATAGGTTCCCATGAATCTTTAATACGGTGGCAGTAGTTACATGTGTGGCCCGCCAGCTTTGATGGTTGCATTATCTAGGACTTATTAACTGGTATTAGCAGATCCTAGCTGTAAAGAAGGTGGGGCTTGGTTCCCTATTTTCCCAAGAGCCAGGAAACTCCTTTGAGCCCTACTCTTTTCATCTGTACACATAGCTGCTTGTTCTCTGGAACAGCCCAGCTTCCAAAGAATGAACTCACTAACCCAGGAGGACAACTTGGACTTGGGCAGGTGCTTCTTTCCCAGGTATTACACCAAGAGGCCAAAGAGAAATGAAAAGGTAGGGAATTCCTGTGCTATGAGACCTGTTCTACCTTCGTTATGAAATGCTGGCCTCCTATAGGAGCCTCCTTTTGACTTTTCTCTTTAGCTGAGTTCTGTTGCAATTTCTCTTTTTTATCTTCATTAAATTTATTGGTACATATTAGGTATACAATACAGTTACATTTATCATTGGGATCTTGTACCTATACATGACTTATGAGGTTCTTATTTTTCCCCATTCCCCAGCCCTCACCTCAGACTCCACCCTTTCCTGTTTACAAAGACATTGTTTCCATGTTTTTCCTTTTCATAATTTCTTTCTTTTCCCTTCCCCTACACCTCCCACTTCCTCTACTCTTTTAGAGTTTTCTTCCTACTACACACTATCAATTATACATTTTAATCCTGATTTACACTTTTACTTTTTCACACCAGAGAAACTATTTGGTATTTACACATGTGTAACTTATTAATCTCACTTAAGAGTTTGACCTCAATGTGTATCCCCTTAGCTATAAATTTCTGTAGTTGCTCAGTCTTTATGGCTGAATAGTATTCCATTTTATAAAAAACCCACATTTTCTTTATCCAGTCTCCAGCTGATGGGCAATTAGGCTGTTTCCAAGTTTTAGTTGTTAGAAAATGTACCGCTATAAACATGGGTGAGCATATACCACTGTGGTATGATTCTTTTAATTCTTTTGGGAAGATACCCGGTGGAGGAATAGCTGGGTCAAATGGGACTTCTAATCCTAGATGTTTGAGGTATCTTCCTATTGATTTCCAGAGTGGTTGCACCAGTCTTCACTCCCCCCAACAATGAAGAAGGGTTCCCATCTTCCTCACAATCCTGCCAGCATTTGTTATTGGTTAATTTCTTGATAGCAGCCATTCTTTCTGGGGTAAAATGGAATCTCAATGTTGTTTTCATCTGCATCTCTCAAATGACCAGTGATGTGGAACGTTTTTTATATGATTATTTGCTGCTATTGTTTGTTTGTCTGATAAATGTCTGTTCATTTCAGATGTCCATTTCTGGATTGGGTCTTTGTATTAGGGGGGTCTGATTTTTTTGAGTTCTTTATATATTCAAGATGGTAGACCTTTGTCTGAGGAGCAGCTGGTAAATTTTTTTCCCCACATTGTGGGTTGTCTCTTAGCTGTGCTTGTAACTTCTCTGGCAGTATGGAAGCTTTTTAAAAAGATGAGATCCCAATTGTTGATTCTTTGTGCTAGTTCCTGTGCTACTGAGGATTTGTTCATAATGTCTTCTCCTATGCCTAACTTATCTTCCAGCAAGTTTAGTGTTTCTTATGGAACTTCTTTGTAACAGATGTTTTCCCATAGAGCAACTTCAATGTCAGTAACCTGCTCCTTATGGATCAAAGAATTCATCAAGATTCTGAACTGGATTTGTGATATTACTCTACTATTATGGGCAAAGACTCTGTTCCAAAGGGACAATGCACATAGCTTCTTTTCTTTTTCTTGTTTTTTTTTTTTAAATATGTTTAATTGTGATCAGAACTGGGAGGACAATAAACGAAAAGATTATGCTGAAATCATAAGGAAACAAAGTTTAGCTTCTTAGATTGCAACACAAAAGTATGGAGCAAAGGGCTCCTATGGTCTTGGTGAAGTCCAGAATCAAAACTAAGTGGCTTTCAATGAAAATAACTAAAACTTGTGCTTTAATGACATGTATAGTGTCAGTATAGTTGATGAAGATGTTGAAGAGTATTATGCCACTTATAGTGATGGGTTTGAATATTTGATCAAATGCTGTGTGCATTGATTAGGTTACTGATACCTTTATACCAGGAGTGTCTGACACTTCTGTGGCCATTGATATCTTGGATTGATTGATAAGAACTGCTTAAATCAAAAGAGTTCTGGAACTGCATCCAGGGTCATCTGCAAGCTATGCAATAGTCAATTAGTGGGGTTGAATATTGCCTAGGGAGGAGGGGGCAGGGAAGCCAGGGTTTCTTATAGTTGCCATCCACACAGCTTAAAGTAGGTTTTATTTGTATCTTTCTTCATTTTGCAAGGAAGTGAGACATCTCAGCAGCGGTCTTTTGTGTAGGGCTATTGATGAAAGAGCACCCTTCATTGCTCTACAACCTTCTGCTGGGTACTCTGCTTTGTTCTTTGACTACATTATCTTTAATATTTCAGGAGGGTCCAGTCAGTGGCCTTTCTCAGAGAAAACTTGGGTCCCATTGCCCACCCTTCTTGCTTTAGGGTGGGTGCATATTCAGTTTTTCAGCAACTGGGTTGATGTCATGATGACTTCAAGTGATTTGGCCCAAAGACAACACCTACTCCCTGAATAATACCCATGAAAACTTAGCACAGTAACTGGAGTGAGTCACATTTTCCTTGTGGATATGATTTGCAGATGTTGAGATGGAACCTCGCCAGGGTTTCCGTCTAAAATGGGACTTCCAGAAAGCAGCAGTCAGACAGCTGACCATCCTTCCTAGAAAAAGAAAAGTCTCCTATAGACTAGCAAGAGTACTGCATGCATGCAAACAAGATTTCCAAAGTAAAAAAAAAATGTCAACTTAGAGAAAGAGGACAATTTATTTTGAGGAAAGATTAAAATCTTTCCTCATAACTTATATTTTAAAAATCAAACTGTTTTTCTCAAATACTGACTTGCTTGATTTTGTTAATAGCCTTTGGGCCTACACCAGTGATATAGGTTGTAAAGACGTAATCTTCTGTTTTATAATTGGAAGAAGGAAGGGAGGACATCAGTGTGTTTTGTCTCAGGTCACCTTCCCAGTGAATGAGGAGGGGGACCAAGTCTCCTGATTACTCTCAGTACAGGGCTGTGGCATTCTTATCTGGAAAATATGAATTCCGCTTATGTTTCTTTCAGGGAGAAATGCCTCTTTAAAAGAATGAGTTGCAAAAATTGTTTTAATTCTATTTTGTAATACATTTGAAATGTTCTAAGATTAAAAAATCAAACTGAGGGGAAGATGAAAAAAGAGATGAAAAGGAACAGAATAAGACACACACAGAGTGCCACATGTGCCCAGGAGGAGCACAGAGTAATATCCCCACACTGTCCTTTGTTAGGGTGGAAAATATGCTTACATTTTTCACAAACATAAGTAGAATCAAGGGAAGCACTTCTCCTGGGACCTGGTGACACTGACAGTAAAATATAGGCCAAGAACCAGGTCCAGGAGCATTGTTCTAAAGCCAGGGATATATACGTTGTTTTGATGGTGTAATCTTTAACTTCCAGGGCCAATCTTTACCTTTCCCTGGCCCTGGTTCTTTCTTTTGGTGCTGTTGTGACTGGAGAGCACATGGAATCCAAAGAGTAAGGGAGAGCAAAGCTGGGTGAATAGAATCCTTAACCATAGCCTGGACTCTCAGCCTTCCCATACATGCAGTCACCTGGGAAACAAAATATGTGTGAGCCAGATACCAGAGTGATTCTAAGGTGCCAGAATGTTGTAACCCTGATTTAAGAGTTTTGCTTGAAAAGCCTGGTTGAAGTGAGTTAATGCCGAGGCTGGGGAAGGTCGCCCAAACTTTCCCTTGGAGAAGAGGTTGGAAACCAAAAATAGAGAGGATGCCAGCGGCCAGAATGCAGGCCTATGGTGGCCAAAAGTGGCCTCCCTTTGATTGCAATTCTGTGGGCAAAGGTAAAGGGACTGTTGAAGGACTTCACTGGAAAGTTTAGTGTAAAACATCGTCTTCTGGCCTTTTGTCTTAACTAATCTGTGTTCCATATGAAACATTCAGAGAGGCAGAGAAGAGGGCAGAGTCTTCCTCCATTTGGGTTTTGGAGTCCCTGGGCCTTACCAGCAAGAGTATGAGAGGAATTCTCACTGGAAGGAGCATACTTCCATGTAGAACTTCTAAACTGGCTGCCTTCTTCCAGAAGGAAAGAACCTTCCATGACCAGGACAGCCATACAATGGCAGAGGGACCAGAAAAGACTGGAGAAAGTAGGCAGAAAGAGAGCCAGAGCAAGACTGCTCCCTCAGATAACATGCAGTTGATGTGGTCAAGACATAGAGGCCACTATAGTGACAGAGGACAAATAAACTCTTGAGTCCTTAACTTGTCACCCACTAAAAGCATAATTTGTAGTTTTAAACATGGTCTGTAAAAAAAAAAGTGGTCTGTGGATGTATTTGACCCCACAGTCCCCAAGATGAGCTATTTGTCAGCCACCATATCTGAAAATCATCCGCATTAAGCTTGGTAAAACTCCACTTCTTGGAGACCTGGATATTTTGGCAGCCAGAGAACTTAGAGTTGACCCAGTGTAGATGTTGACCACATGCTCTTTGTTCTGAAACGTGATGCCAATGAACATGACAAGTTTACCAGTCAGGACTCTGACCACTGTACCATAGATCTCTCCAAGGACATCCATCCATCTGCCTATTTGGCACCTAGGTTGGGGGCAGCACAAGGTTGAGACATGAACATCCATTGGTGACTCATGCAATGACAGCATGTGTGTGCTGCTGAGGAGGATGATGTTTGCAGTCATTTCACATCAGGTCTCCATGAAGGAAAGAGAATGGTGGGCTTAATTGGCAGCAGAGTCTAGAGCGGTTCTCAAAGAGACATTTAAAATCATAACCCTTGGAGGTACAGGGCAGGAAGCCTATAAACAAGAGATCTCATGGGCTGATCTCATCCTGTGGGTGTAGAGTCAGCAGGCTCAGAAGAGGGTCAAGGGACCACAGCACTGGCTATCACTGCTTCTAAAAAAACATAGCTTGACACCCAGGGAAAAGATTCTGTGATGCTTGTGTCCCTTCTGGGAGGCCTGTATCATTCAAAAATTGAGTGGCCAAGTAGGCGTGAGGATAGGATTTTTCTACTGATGAGAAAATTCTTGTTTCTTCAAGCAGTAGATCCTGAGTTAGCTTTGGAGTGCATCTGGAGCCTCAGAAAGCTTGCCACTTTCTGAACAAAGCATTCTGCTTGTACTTTTAAGAACAATGACTTGGAAACTTAGGTCTCCTTTGCTCAGAGTTGGGCTTTTTCTCCCCCTAGCATATAAAAAATTTCCAGTCTGTATCTGCCCTGCTCTGATGCTGTTGATTAATCACATTCCCAGGGAGAGCCTGGAGCCTGGCCTGGCCTGAGCTGTCAGTGAGAGGAGGCAGATATATTGGTCAGGACAGTCAGAGAGATGGGTCAGGGTATTAGAGGCTTTGGCTGCTGCAAGTGCTGGCAATTAGGTTAGAATCATTTGGACAAGTAGTGCTGGCTGAATAGACTCACTTCAACAAAGGGAAATAAAGGACAAATTTAATCAAGACTAAGCCTCATCGCCAAGCCAGGCAGCAGTGTCAGTGCCTAAGAATGTCTGTTCTGGGCAGCTCTGGTCCAGTATGCCTTGTGAGACAGGGCTCTGCACCTGCACGGTTTGGGAGCATGGTCAAAAGATGGAGGCCAAGGAGGAGAAAAATCTAGGTCAGCTCCTGTTGCTTCCAGAGGATTTCAGGATTTTTGTTTGCTTTTGCACTGATTGGGATGCAACATAGGGCTGAACCCTTAGCCACAAAGACTGCAGTTTTGTGAACTGAAGTGTACTTTTCATTTGGGTCAAGATTACAGCTTGGGTCCAAGTTTATAAACATAAGTACTTTGAGGTAACCTCAGTGCCTGCTAAGAGATAAGTGGTTAGTCCAAGGGTCCAGCTGTGTTTGACCATGGGTTGACTATGGTTTTAAATCTCTGTTTCCCTCCAAGGCTCAGCTGATGGTCCCTGGCCTTTCTATAGAGTAAAAAATTTGTCATTATGGGCAGGGGCTGTGGCTTGGTGACCTTCCAGGCATGTGCTTCTCCTGTGTTTTCTGGAAATAGGACTTGGTCTGAAGTTTCCTGCGTGTTTCTTTGATGTAAACTGTAGGATCTTTAGAATAACCGAAAGCATTTATTCTTTCTGGTTGGAGAAATAAGGGGAGCAAACTGACCTCTGTCTTTAAAGAGAGGTAAGATGTCAAGTTTCTCAAATCTGATAGCATCTTGGAATCATATATTGGAAGCAGTTAAAAATATTAATGCCTAGGGTCTACCCAGAGATATCTGACTGAATTTTCTGAGGTGTTTTCTTAGGCATCAATAGTGTTTCTTTACTTCTTCAGGTGAGGCAACATGTGGCTAGATCCAAGGCCCCTGCTAGCTGGCTGGAGGGAAGGTGTGGAGTGTGCATGCGTATTGTCTCTCTGTGTAGACTTTGATCTCCTGCAGAGCCGGGCAGTGCTCAATATCCTGGCATCTTCTCCTCCAGCTGTGGTACAGGGGGGTCCTCCACAACATTTCAATATGTGTGCTTGGATGTGTGACAAACAGCGTCATTCCCTTGAACATCTCATCCTTAGACATCTCATCCCCTTGAGGCAGGGCCGTAATGCAGAAGCCTTTTGAGGAAATTCAGGGCCAGCTGGACCTGTTCTGATTACACTCAGGGCCATCCTGACTTCTTAAGGAATGTCTAGACAGAAACACTGTCCAGACAACCCAAGGCAGAAGGTGATTAGGATGGAGGTCTTTGTTTTTGTTTTTGGTCAAGGCTCTGAGAAAGAAAGTAGAGAAGCCTTCTTCTAGGCAGATTATTTGGTTCTGTGACTTGCAGGGGAGAAATCACTCATTATCTTGGCTCACTTGTCTGAATACTTCTGGAAGGATTCTGTGCCATTATCCCCCATACACATTATGATTCAAGTACCTATAATCCAAACACTTTGATAAGAAAGGTTTATTAAGAAAACTAATAAAATCTTCAGAAAAATATAGAGGTAACAAGAAATGAAACTTTCCAATACAAGCCACTGTTGCTAAACAGCACTCTTGTCCATGTATTTTTATTTTAAAACAAGAATAAAAACAACATTGAGAAGCATTTTGATTTTGAAAAGTAGCAATGAAGGATGACAATCAAGAATATGATGAGACCAGATGGAGCTTCACTATTCAGTGCTTAAATTTCTATGAAAAATACATTTCTTTGCTTCTTCTTCTCTCCTCTCTTCTTTCCTTTCTCTTTTCCTCTCTTCCTTCCTTTTCATAAACACCGATTGAGCTAAGAAGCAAAATTCACAATTCACTTTTACTTGAGGTCACAATGTAATAGTGGCGACAGAAAACTGCTGCAGAAGCTGGCTTAGGTTAACTTGTTGGGTGTTCTGAAGCAGAGGGGGTGGGAAGGAGACGGAGAGGTCCAAAGGCAAGAAGCATTTGTAGAGGAACTCAGAACAGGCTCCCGCAGTCTGAAAGGCGTTCAGAGCACTTTCCTACACAGTTGCTCATGGAATCCTTAACCATTCAGGCATTTCATGACTTAACTATCTGTAGTCATTCTCTGGCCAGGTAGCTCAGGCATTAAGTCAGACAGCAGACAAAATCTGCATCAGTCAATAGCAATCAGGATTGCTTTGGTTGTGAAACAGACTTGTTTGAATGAGCAAAGTAATTGAGTGGCCAGACAGGCTGAAGCAAGGCTAGGTGCAGGGGTTCACATGACCCCATCCACCTTCTGTCTCACACTACATTTCCTTAGGCTTGGCCTTACTCTCTGCAGGCTCTCCCCTTGAGACTGACAGCTCAAAGCTGCTGTGTGTTCAGCAGCCCAGGTAAAGGACAAAGCTCTTTCCTGCTTGTGTCTGTAGGTCTCAGTAGCCTGACTGAGAAAAATTCCCCTACAATCACGCCACACAGATGAAATGAATATATGTGTATTCACATATTCTTTCTGTTTCCAAGCTAAAATGTACCTAAAATCTAGACAGCTTTTATCCAGTGACCTCATTCTTTCGGCTTTCCTTAACTACATAACAGGATGGACTCTCTTTAAAAAATAGGACAGTCCTTCAAGTGTTTGAAGATGGCTTTCACGTCCCTGCTAAGCCATTTTTTAATCCAATGTTCCGGTGTGTGTCAGTTGTCCTAGTTCCATTTGAGTTGGGACAGTCATCCATAGAGAGTTCATGACCTTCCACCATCCCAGGTCATGGAAGTGACTCTCCTCAGGGCTTGCTCCAGTTTTTCCAGATCATACCCCAATCCTTGACCAGTATGGATGGGCAGCAGGGGGATTCCACTTCCCTTGCTCCACACACCACACCTCTATTAGCCTACCATACTATTATTCTTTGGCATCTTGGACCCTCTGCTGGTTCAGATGGAGCCTGTTATGGTTTATATCTATGTGTCCCCTCAAAGCCACTTTTACTCATAGATGGGACTTTTGAGAGGTGACTGGATCCTGAGTGTGTAATACTGGATTAGTTCACTGATGGGTTTAGCATATTCTGGGTGTGGATAATGGTTTTACTGAAGAGAAAGACCCACCCTGAATGGGGGTGACACCAACCAATAGGCTTGTAGACTGGATGGAATAAAAAGGGAAAGAAAGAAGGCTTACTGCTTTCTGCCTGCACTGCCATGAACTATTTCTTTTCTGCTATGCCCCTCTGCCATGCCACCCTGTCTTGTAGCCAGCTGACTATGGACTGAAACCTCTACAAATTGTAAGCCAAAATAAATCTAACACTGCTTAATTTGAGGGTGTCAGTTATTTTGGTCCAGCAATGAGAAAGTATCTAAGATAGAGCCCAAAGTTCATCTAAACTCCTGAGAGCTCCCTAATAGTTTGCTTCTATCCCTTTGAATTCATACTTTGAACCTCAACATCTTGTCTTTGCTAAGCTTTTTGGTTGGATGTTCTGTTGCGCTTTTGCTTTTGTTCCAGCCTGAGAGGTCATTTAGAACTCTCTCCTGCCATTCACACATCTGCTTTCTCTACAAATGGTGGGCCAGAAGCATGTGCACTCAAAATGCATGTCACAGGTGGCCTGACCAGGCCAAAGGCTGCAGCTTACCTACAATGTTTATTTTGAGTGGCATTGATCTGTTAATCAGAGCTCTTGGACTATGATGATAGGACCAGTTCAGTGTGCTGTAACTCTGGGCCATGCACTCTGCACTTCTCTGTCTTGACCACTAGAAGCAAGAAGATCAGTTAGACTGGGTTAAAAGTGGATAGAATGTCAGTGCAGATGAGGAGAGTGTTCTAGGGTCCAGAGCGCCACAGATAGGACATGAAAGAGGGGGAAAGGCAGCCCTTTGAAGAGAGAAGCCCCTGGAGCTGAGGACAGGTAGGGAAGAAATAGATTGTGTCAGATCCTTGAAGGCCTACATATCATGTAGAGGAATTTGTGAGGAGCTTTCCATGCAAAGTTTCTAGAGCAGAACCTGAGAGGTTCTTGTAGGAAAACTTTCCCTGTGGGACACCCAGCTTCAGAGAAGAGAAGCTGGCTTGGAAGAACACACAAGAATCCAGATAAGGGCACGTAAGATTCACCGAGCCAGAATGTAACAGTGGAGGGGATGAGCACAAGAGAAGAGAGAGAGGCATTTCAGAGATCAAGTCAACAAGACTTTGTTGGGGTTAGTTGGGAGGAGAAGGCACAGGGTGTAGAACAGCAAGAAAGGACTAATTAAGGATAATTTCAGTACTTCAGGCTAGGAAAAACTAGAAAATGTGAATACCTTGATCAAAATTAGAATAGTCAGAAAGAGTGATTGAT